GGCAGCTGGCCAAGAAGGGCCGGAAATGCTCCAAATACTCTCGTTCCTCCAACAGCTAAGGGGAGGGAGGCCCCCTCAGAGAGGCCATTTTATAGTGATAGCCAGACTAAATCCTTTGGGGGTATGGGAGATGGTGGAGAAGAAAGTACTTCTGAGGGATGAACCAAAAAAGCATCCTTCTACATGAGTGGGCTTACTAAAATCCGGTAGCCTGAGAGCTTGCCTTCTGCTGAATCCCGGGTGGCTGTGTAAGGAGTTCCTTTGCTGGGACACAAAGCTGTGTTGTTGGCAACAGTGATATCTGAACCTGACCTTCAGAAGAAGGTTAAAAATAGTATTGTCTTGGCAAAGCCAGTCTTCATCTGTGTGTGTGTGCGCGCATGCATGTACATGCTCAGGCTTCTTAAGAGGCAGAGGCAAATAAATGTCCCCATCTGGTGTTTCTCCGAGGCTGTGGTGGCAGATCTCAAGTGAAACAGCTTCTCACCTGCTTTCCTGTTATTTGCAGAATATCAGCCCAGGAGTTGCAAGCTGGAAAACAACTTTTGTAGTGGATTTGGGAGAAGGAATAGGGGTTGTTTGAACTTTTTGAAACCTGCTCATGATCAGAGCTCCTCTGTCACCTTTCATCATCTTTCTTGAGCTTTAACTACATGCTGGAGGTAGGAGGGATCTTGATCTCCTAAAGGAGATCTGGCCTCCTGGAATGAGGCGTGCAGTGTTGTCAGGTAGTGGTCATCTCTCCTTAGATAATTAAAATGAGCACAACATTTAGCTTTAGTTTGCACAGTATGTTACTGTGTAGACAGTAAGTTTTGTTTATTATTTCAGTTAGGAGTGAGGTATTGCTGTTATCCCAACTAATGGATGAGGAAACTAAGGTTCAAAGAAGCTGTGTGGCTGAGTCAGTTACTAGCAGAGCCTGGACCCCATCACAGGTGACCCTCAGAGCCTGGACCCACATCCTGCCTCAGTAGGAAGTCTTGCAGTAGTGAACTGGCTTCCCTGTTCTCAGTCACTTTCACACTTTCTTCTTAAGCCAGAGCTCCCCACATTAGCTCTGTGCTGGTCCTCTCCGACATCCAGCCCTAAGCCAGATGTTTGGAGCAGGGAGAGCAGATGCACATCGGCAGCTGGGCAGAAGAGGAGGGCTGGGTGTCCGCAAAGCAGATAGCAATAGGATGAAGGAGAGAGAGCAGCTGGCTATGGGGCTACATGGCACGCACTGGAATCCTGTCTTCCCTCAGGGAAATCATGTGCAGTGAAACCCTCACAGGCTTGTAAATCTTGTGCACTCCTGGGGAGGGGGCCAGTGCCCCTCCCCATCACACACAGAGGGGTGGGGGCTGGCCTGCACCTGGCTGTCAGGGACACAATGCTGAGTGCTGGCTGAAAGGAGCCCTTTGAAAGGCTCTGTGACCCAAGTTTCAGATCCCACTCTGGTGTGTGTTCTCCACTGAGCAAAGCAGGTCTTTTTTTTTGAATATATCTTTATTGATTTCAGAGAGAGGAAAGGAGAGGGGGAGAGAGACAGACAGAAACATAAATATGAGAGAGTCATTGGGGATCGAGCCCACAGCCTGGGCATGTGCCCTGACAGGGAATCGAACCTCGATCTCCTGGATCCTAGGTCGATGCTCAACCACTGAGCCACGTCCAGCGGGGCAAGCAAAGCAGGCCTTGGACCCAAGCTTCTGGCTCCAGCTCCTCCCCCTTCCCATCCTCCATTGTCTTGATCTCCCAGAGGTAACTGCCAGGGAGAGCAGGTGCAGGGCTGGGGTGTGGGTGAGGCGAGCCCTGGAATGGAATTCCAGAGCCTTGTACTGTTTTACCCCTTGCACCTTTCAATGCCCACCCAAGAGAACAGCAAGGAGGAGGGGCTAGACTGATGCTTTACTGGCCCAGCCTAGAGAGGAATAGAGCAAACACCCTAAGAGACCTTGAGAGTGCCCCACAACCTCCCAGTTGTTGCAGGAGTGCACACACAGGATGCCCCTGAGCTGCTGGGGGCCCTAGGTTCAAGGAGACCTGGGTTCAAATCCTGGCTCTGCTATCCTGCTACCTGTGTAGCCTTGAGCAGGTTACTTAACTTCTCTGTGCTTGTTCCCCTTCTGGGAAATGAGGGATTAGTGCCTACAGATGGGTTTTTAGTGAGGATTAAATGAGGTAATGATGTCAAGTGTTTTGGTGCTCAGTAAACATGACTGAGGCCCAGAAAGACTTAAGTGGTTTGCCTCTGGTGCTCAGCTCCTTCAGAGCCCACTTTCCTCTTCTCACACACTGGTACCTTTTCTGCGTCTAACTCTTCTGGACTGTTGCAAACCAGCGAATACTTCCACAGGTCCTGGCTCTGTAGAATGGACAGGCCCTGGAGGCCCCTGGAGTCAGTTAACACAGCCAGTAAAAGTTATTGAGCACCTGCTACATAGAGAGCTGGAGGCTGGTGAATGTACCTGGCTGAGGCCACTGCAGGCCATGTCAGGAGACAGCCATGTTGGGGGGAGGCTGAGAAAGCCCTGATGGATTCTCAGTGGCAGCACTTATAAAGGTAAGGAGGACAGACAACCTGGAGAAGGACAGAAGGAAGTGGGGCTCCAACAGGGAAAAAGGGTAGGGAGTCTGGAGTATTGACCTTGCTGTTATGGGTCTGGGGTACCCTCCACAGGCTCCAGAGCTCTGTGCTCTGTTCGGAGTGCCTGCCCCCAAGGCCAAGGCATTTGTGGCTCTGAGGCCCAGGGTCTGCCTGGTCACATTGTGTTTTTGAGAAGATCCTCTTCCCCTCAGAGCCCAAACCAAGCTGAGCCCCCAGCCCCACCTCACCAAGCTCCCTAAGACTGAAACACTTCTGCCTGTTGGGCCTCCCGCTGTAGACATCAGCGAGGCCTCTCTGTGGCCCCAGCCAGCTGCCCCTTTCACCTCCTTGCCTCTCAGGATTACTCAGCCTTCACAGCATCTGTCACTAAGATGCTGAGTGCGTTCTTGATGGCCTCTCTTCAGGAAAGGCTTGGGCTGCGTGGCCTTTTAAGAAAGCCTCAGTGCCCGGGTTAAGCCTCTGATTGTGGTTCTGCGTGAAGAAACCATAAACCAAAAAGGAAAAGTGAAGGTTCAGCTTTGGTCTTGGAGCTTTGCATCAGCATCTGCTTGAGTCCCTGGGCTTGGAATTGAATGTGGGTTATACAGGTGGAGAGGCTGTCTTTTCCCTCTAGTTTTTGCACAGATTATTGTGAATAGGAAAATTCAAAGGAGCCTCTCATCCTGCTTGTCTAAGTGCTGGGCTGTGCTCTAACATTTTTCTCCTTGATATAGCGGCCTTGGGCAGAGGTCCCCAATGTACTTTCTTCCTTCCCGACAAAATCCCCAGTCCCTGGAAATCTTGGTTCCACCGGGGCCAGGAGCTCGACAGCAATATCCAGGTTTTTAGGGTAGTTGCTGGAGAGGCCTGATCATTTTTTAAAAAGTTTCTAATGGTCATACCAGTTTCAAGGGATCTGACCTAACACAGGGAGGCGGGGGAGAGAGTGAGCTTTGGGGGACCCATTGACCAACCCACGGATACCCTCCCTGCACTGCAGGCACCCTTCCACCTTTCTGTTGAGTCAGAGCTAAGTCAGTGGTCCTGGGGCCACGCTGACTGCCACTTGATTGACTCTTTGGCGGTCATTTCCTTACCCATGGTCCTAGGGAATAGATTTTGGTTTTCTCCTCTCCAGGGGCACAGGCTGCCCAATACCTGGGTGTTAAATGGTTCTTCTATCACCTTTGCAAGGGCCACTGTGGTGGTGCGGTGCATGCTGTGAGGACTTGTGGGGGAGTTCCTGGGGGGCCCCCACCACATTGCCTTCCCCCTTCTTACAAGGAACAACACAGCAAGTTGTCTTCATTGCCACATTCCGTTTGTCTTTTCTTCCTCCACAGAGACATTGGCATTTCCAGCGTTTGTTTTCCTGCACAGTAGTTTACGGTGTGCTTTAAAGTGGAATGGGTTAGGTTTAATCTCCCACACAGGCCTGGGGAAAGGAGACTGGGGAGTGGTTGTGTGGCGCCACCTCCTGGCCACAGCACCCATGGTGTCTTTCCAACTCTTGCTCAACAGTTGCCAGAACAGTTCATCTGAAAACCAAAAGAAACTTGAAAAAGACGCTGTATTCTGAAGTCATTTCTGGTTCATCCTTTAATGCCCATAGCTTTTTGTATCAACTTGGCCTTTCTGGGGCTGTTTGCCAAGCCTTCTATTAAAATGGCTTTGTATTTCCAAAGCCTGAATTATCAAGGCAGGATAAGCAGCTGCAGTCTGGAAGCAGGGACATCAGACTAGAACCAGACACTGGATGTGTGTGTCCCAAGGGGTTAATCTGCCTCTAGGTTAAGATTAGGAGAAAGGAATATTAAGGAAAGTGGCTGGAGTGTGGGAGAAGGCAAGGGTATGAACAAAGTATTAGCTTTTTCCTTGGGGCTGCGGCTCTTCTGTTCTCTAGTCTGCTGTACCTAGTCTGGGCTCAGTTCTGCTGCCACTGATCCAGCAGCTAGGGAAGCTGAGCCTGACCAGGACTACAGCTCCACTAACTTGAAGGGAAGGGGTCTAGGTTACTGTCTTGTCTAGAAGGGGTAGTTTTGTGGGAACGGGTTTGGTCAGGGAGGATTGGAATCTTTGTGAATTAATTTTGAAGGCCCCCTCAGTATGCTGCTACCAGAGCAGGAGGATACCTAGTCTATACCTGGTGCCATCTTTGACTGCCCCCCCCCAATAAAATGAAGAGCAAATTTTCTATGGCCCATTTCCCAAACCAGAAAGTAGAGATTCCTGCTGGTTTTGCTCTAGAGAAAAGATGTTGGAATAAACATACATTTCACTGCTGACTATATTTGGTTGTTGGCCAAGCACATACTGTGGACCCTGGTGGAGCTTACAGACAAGAAGGGGGTACGGCACCAGGGTTAGGGGAGGTACCTGTGGACAGGGATGCTCTTTAGTTAATGTTTCATCATTCCTTTTGCTCTAGGCCTGGTCTCCAAGTCCTCTCCTAAAAAGCCTCGCGGACGTAACATCTTCAAGGCCCTTTTCTGCTGTTTTCGCGCCCAGCATGTTGGCCAGTCAAACTCCTCCACTGAGCTCTCCGCATACAAGGAGGAAGCCAACACCATTGCTAAGGTAGCTGGATTGGGGTGGTGTGATGCCATGAAGGAGGGAGCTGCTAGTGGAGGTCCATGCGTCCACAGCAAGTGGACAAGCAGCCCTGCCTGAGGTCACGAAGATCTCTGGCTCAGAAGAGGCCCTTCCTCTGATGGACCCATAGTTGGTTCATCATCTTCCTCTTGCTTCCCATTTGTGGTATGGGCCATCTGATGTCCCTGTCGTTTCTGAGGGCCCCTGCAGTCCAGGTCCTTCCAGGTTCCAGGAACTTGTAAGGAGATTCACAGAGTCCTATGTACAGATGTGGAAACAGACCCAGAGGGTGTATGTAGCCCCTAAAGAGTTAATGGTTAATAAATGGTAGTGTCAGGCTTCCAACTCAGATAATTCTGGCTGTCAATCCTGTGTCTGTTGTTTGTTTTTTACTATGCAAAACTACCTTCCAAGTTACTTGACTTTCAGGGAACGAAGGAATTTAAATTCTTCCACATTCTTAATAACCCCTTCCAGCATTCTCACCTATACCTGTGAGAGAGATTTGGGAATGTGTGGGTGTCTTTGATCCTCACAGTGACCAGTAAATATGTCTGGCATTTCAAGGGTAGGCACAGCCCTGACCAAACTGCCCCCAATGTCATTGGTACTTTCCGAAACACCAAGGTCTAGCTGTCCTTCCTGTCTCTCAAAACCAGCCTAATGACATGTGCATCAGTGAAAAATCACTTCATTATCCAGTAGTACAACGTGACAGTAGTATTGAGCGATTGATTTTTACAAAGAGTTCATAATAACATGGAAAAGGATTGGGTTGCAACATTAAGTGAAAAAGCAGAATGCATTATTGAGTAAAGGGGAGAAAGACTATTAAAACAAACTTGAAAGAAGTACACTAAAATGCCAAATTAAGTTTTTTAAATACTGAGATTTGAATTTTTCTTCAAGGTTTTCATTAAGAACACATTACTTTTTACAACCATAATGACATTTTTGTTATTAGCAAAAGGTAGGAAAGCCATTCTGATCTCTCGCACTCCACCTCCCCGCCCATTTTGGGACCCATAGTGTGGATTTTCATTGGCTTCTGTTTTTTAGAGGTTCAGTTACCTCCCCCAATTGTCTCCTCCAAGGAGGGCATAGAAAATACATGTTCTCAAGGAGAAGCCTGCATTCCAGGACTAAGCAAGTGGCTAAACCACCGCAGTGAGGAATTCCCATTTTGGTTCTGGCTCTGATTCTGTGTCCCTGCACCACTCACTTCAGTTCCCTGTTCCTCACTTTGTTCAACTGAGAGGCAGTGGCAGCGAAGAGCAGGGACGCTGTCTTCTCCACCCTTCATCAGGCTTAATGTGGAAAGAAAGTTCTGGCCTTTCCTGCCCAGATCTTAAGAAAAGTCAATTTTGACATGTTAGTACCTTTTAGGGGGCTGGGGTTTGGGGGAGATAATTACCCTCCCGGCCTGAGGCAGAAGCAGCAGGCTTTAGACAGGTTGGGGGAGGCATTGGTGTTGGCACTGACCGGCTCCTTTTCTCCTGCAGTCTGATTTGCTCCAGTGTCTCCAGTACCAGTTTTATCAGGTAAGTGAATCTAACTGGGTATGTGCTCAGAACTCCAAGATCCCATGATCCCTGCTAACGCCATGAGTAATGCCCTTACTCCTCCGTGGCTGGCTGGCCACCTCCCCAGCCTGTGAAGCTATTTGTTCCAGATATTTGCTGAGAGCCCATCATGTGCAGGGAAGTAGATTTTGGGGGGACAGCTGGTGTCCATCCCACACCAGCTTGGCCTCCATCTCCAATGTCCAGGTCACATCATAGTCCAGTGGGAGGCTGAGGCCAAGGAGCCAGCTTTATCTCTTCTTTTTCAATCTCTTGGCCTTCAAGAGGCATCTCTCCTGGGTTGAACTTGGGGGCTTTCTTCTTCTCAAGCCTGGCTCTTCCCAGAGTTCTGCTGAGGGGAACAGCTGGGCTTTCTTGGTGGTAGATCTCAGCAGCCTGGTTCTGGTTTTAGATCCCGGGGACCTGCCTGCTCCCAGAGGTGACAGAGGAAGATCAAGGAAGGATCTGCGTGGTCATTGACCTGGATGAAACCCTTGTGCATAGCTCTTTTAAGGTAAATTGACATCTGGAACCCCTCCTACACACATCTTGGGCTGTCTCATGTCCCTGGCTAAGGTGGCCTAAAGATGATAGAAGAGTGATCAGGATGGGACTTGCTGGGCCTCTAGCATTTCGGCCACACTGGCATCACAGATATCTGGAGACTACACCAAAGAATGTTGAGTAGGAACCCCTGCTCCCCCCTAGTCACTGCCAGCAGGCCTCCACTGCCTCATCACACAGCACAGAGTTCCGCCAGGGTTGTGTACAGGGCAGGCCTAAAAGAGGGCTTGAATCAGCCTTGGACCTTGCTCTTCTCTGTTTTGTCAAAAGTTTGTTAACTCAAGAAGGCCCTGAAACACTCAGCTCAGGTAGAATTAGGGGGAAAACCAGAAAAGACATTGCAGCTTGTGCTGGGGTGAAAACTTAGTGGGCTGGCAGGAGGAGCTTCCTGGAGCCTCTAAGATCTGTTCCCACTCCTCCCAGGTGATAGTGCAGTGGCTGTGGCAGAGGCTTCTTGTCTCCTTCCCACTACACCAACCTCATTAACTTTTCTCCTTTCCAGCCAATCAACAACGCCGACTTCATAGTGCCTGTAGAGATTGAGGGGACCACTCACCAGGTGAGCTGTGCCTGCCAGGCCACATCCAGCCCAAAGGGCTCGGGGTCCTCTTTTCTTCTCAGGGCTTGTGTTCCATCAGTTGATCCCCTTCAGTAACTTCATCCTCCTTTTTATTGGTAACTTTTGCACTCAAGGCTTTCTCATGTTTAAAAAAGAAAAAAACAATTAGCCCCTCATCCCCGACTACTGTCGTATTACATTTTCTCTAATCCTGAATAGTTGGTTCTCTGCCTGTTCCAGGCAAGGAAGCCAGTGCTAGCTGTTTTTCTTTCTTCCCCGTGCCCAGCTTCTTCATCTAGCTAGGGAATTTCTTCCTCCTCAGTGAGGCGTCTCCTCTGTGACACTTTCTCCTACTCCCCTCCCCTTGGATCCCTAAACTGGATTCTTCCCCATTAAGTGCTCAGTACACATCTGTCAAAGTAAAGAGCACTTGAATCTAAATAAGATCAGGCTCTGGCCCTGCATAACTTGCTCCGCCCGGGGTTAAGGGCTATGTGGTATTGATAGTGGGGAACCATTTACTGAAAATGCTTACCCAGAAGGCCTGACAGCTGGCCTGAGAGTCAGGGACCATCAGGAACAGTGCCCTGGTAGCCCTGACACTTGCTTGCATGGCCTGGTCAAATAGTAGAGTTACTTATAGAAGAATGGGGTTTGAGGCTTCCGTGCATTGTCATCACTATCCTGCATCCATCAAAGGCTTTCTTCACCAGCACCAGCCACCTCCCAACTGAGGTGTACCAGCCCCTGCTCAGAACTAGGCTTAGCCTATGGACTGCCCGGCCTCAGTCCAGCAGCCCTACACAGTCTAGTTGAGGGTGTAGAGATGTACAGAACCCACAGGGAAAAGATGAAGGCATGTTTTCAGGCGGGCAAATATATACTGTGTATTTCTAGGCGGGGCAGGAATGACAGTGAGGGTGACTACCTGCAGAAGGCAGGATTTCAGCAGAGTGGTGAGGGGATGCTGAACCTGATGGAGAGCCAAGAAGAAGGGGAACTTGTGGAAGGTTGAAGAAATGGCAAATGATAGGAGCCAAGTTGTGGATTCCTGCTGCAGATCTAAGAGGGAGTTGGTGGCCAGTTCAGGCCAGCTCCAGGAGGGGGTGTCATGGCAGGTCCATACTCTGAGCAGGGAGTAACACAGATAAGAGGAGCTTTGAAGGAGAGGGTCTAGTAGCACCTTTGTCAGCTGGGTGAGAGGGCAAGAGCCTGGAAGCAGGAAAGCAGCATGAATACTGTTGAGGGATGTGTAGCCAATGGATCTGTTAGGCCAAAATCTGTGATATCGTGAAAGGTGGACACGAGTGTTAGGGGTGTCTGGCAGGAGCAGTCCAAAATGGGTGGGGGTATTAGAGCAAGAGCTTTTGGTCTGCAGTCGTTGAGAGGGGAAGTCACTTCTTCCTGATGCATTTCAAAGACGTGTGAGGGCCTGAGGTTCCAGGAAGTCTCTGCAACCTTGCCTGATGGTGACCTGGACAGACTGTCCTGCCAGAGCCAAGGACAGGAAGCTCCCACAGAGGCTGTGGCTGGATTCAAGTAATCCAGGATAGGCTATTTCCATCTGTGAGGCCTATTCTTGATTACTTGTTTCTGGAGGCAGCTGATGGTTCGCCGCTGGACAGAGTTGGCTCCCAGGACAGGTGCACGCATTTCTTCCTGAGCTGGGTCAAGGCTGGGACCGCTGAGCCAGCAGAAGCCTGGTGAGGAGGTGATGCTATACACTGGCCTGAGAGGCAGAAGGCTTCCAGCCAGGAGGTCCCAGAGGCTGAGGTGCAGGAGCCTGGACAGAGTAAGGTCTGAAACCACTTGCTGCTTTTTTTAGAAGTGGTGACAGAGGCTGATGCTGTGAAGCTTCACCCTCACAGGAATGCCTTTGACAAGCCTCTGTGCTTTTCCTCAGGTGTACGTGCTCAAGAGGCCTTATGTGGATGAGTTCCTGAGACGGATGGGGGAACTCTTTGAATGTGTTCTCTTCACTGCCAGCCTGGCCAAGGTAACTGGGAGCAGTGTGGGAGCTACAGGGGTGGTCCAGCAGCCCCTTGCTGGTCCCCGGATTGCCACTGGGGAACCAGGACCACATCCAAACAAAAGTGTCTTTTCTTTTCTCAGTATGCTGACCCTGTGACAGATCTGCTGGACAGGTGTGGGGTGTTCCGGGCCCGCCTGTTCCGTGAGTCCTGTGTGTTCCACCAGGGCTGCTATGTCAAGGACCTCAGCCGCCTGGGAAGGGACCTGAGGAAAACCCTTATTCTAGACAACTCGCCTGCTTCTTACATCTTCCATCCAGAGAATGCAGTGAGTGGTCCAGATACGCCCACACACGGGTTGGGAGAGTCCTTGCCCTAGGTGGGAGGGGAAGTGGGCGGGGGACCCTTGCACTTTACCAGAAGAGCATGCCATCCCAGGTGAACACAGCCAGCCTCCAGGGGCTCTGGAGCAAGGGAGGGAAGAACTGGCATCTGGGAGGTTTATGCTGCCTTTTTCCTGCCCCAGGTGCCCGTGCAGTCTTGGTTTGATGACATGGCAGACACTGAATTACTGAACCTGATCCCAATCTTTGAGGAGCTTAGCGGAGCAGAAGATGTCTACACCAGCCTTGGGCAGCTGCGGGCCCCTTAGCCTTCCCTGGTTCCAAGCAATGGCCATCCCAGTAGGGGACTTTCCTACACTGTGCCTTTATGACCAGCCTGACAGAGCAGAAGCTGGAGCATCTCACCAAATGGGGCCTGGAAATAGAAGTGATGGGAAAGAACTTTAGGACAGGTTAGATGCCGAGTATGCAAATGTCAGACCAATGATACCCCAACCTGCCTAATCCCTGAGTTGGGTTCCTGAGATATGTGAGAGAGAGTGTGAGTGAGTGAGTGAGTGAGTGAGTGAGAGTGTGAGAGAGTGTGTGTGTGTGTGTGTGTGTGTGTGTGTGTGTGGCCTCGAACTGTGTTCAAGGATATAAGTGTTTCAGGTTGGGGAAGAAGCTGAAAGATCAAGAATCTCCCCAAGCTCGTCTCTCCAGTCCACCTTGAGCTCTATAGGGATGAAGACTATTCAGGGCTCCATTGCCAAACCCATGGCCTTTCCTCAGTGTTGTAAGGCTTGTGCTGAGGATGAAGGAGGGGTCAGAGGCTGCCTTCAGGTGCCCCAGGCACACTCCTTTTTGAAATCTTTCTCCAGCCAGCTGCTGCAGATAGACAATTCTGGAAGATGAAAGCTTATTTCCAGAACTGGTCGCCTCAGTGGCCATCAAGTCCTGCAGTTCAAGGGCTGCACTTGCCTCCAGCCGAGTGCCTGTCATGGGCCCTCTGTCTCCCCAAGGCTTGGGCCCTGGGCCTGCCTTCCCCACTACCTAGCCATAAGTCTCGAACTCATGGGGAAGGAGGTCTTCTCCTTGCCGTGGAAGAGGGCAGATAACTGATTTCCGTTCTTTTGACTCTGTTTTAAAATTCTCTTTCTAAGCATGGAGTATTGGGCCTGTTTTGTTTCTGACAAAGCTGCAGTCCTGGGCATAAGGTGGGTGGTGCTGGGGGTGCAGGGAAGAGGAAAATCCCAAAAGCCTGAATGTGTGTGTCCCCTTAGCTTGTATGTAGATCAGCTGAGCTTGGGACTGTCTGTAAGTCTGTCTTCAGGGATTCTCTGCTGGTGCTGGTGCAAGGACTTTTGTCCCAAAGTCCAGGAAGGGCGCTTCCTACCTGCCCTTCCTTTTCTTGGGCAGGGCTCTTTCCTGCTGTCTTCCCCTGGGGGGCCTGGCCTGTGCCAAGCTCTGCTCCATCTTCATCCTTCCTAGCTGTCAGCTTTTTCTCTCTAGGGCTTCAGAGGCACTCCTGGGCTTGAGAGGGAGTGGGTGTTCTTGTCATTACTTCGCCAGCCTAACATACATGCCTCCAGCCTCTGATAACAGGTATGATGAGCCCTTCACACACCTGCCCTTTGTGTGTCTCTTGCTTTCAAAGTTTCTTAATAGTGAATGCTTTAAAAAGGAGTCACAGAGTGGCAGTTTCCCCAGGATGGAAAACAAGAAGTGCTGCTGTAATTGGGAG